GGAGAATATTGAAAGTACCATAAACTACCAAAAGAACCAACAGATCTGTGTTGGAAGAAGTGCAGTCAGAGCGCTCCTTGGAGGCCAGGAGGGCCAGACTTTGTCTCTCATACTTCAGACATAATGTCAGGAGGCACCAGTCACTGAAGAAGGAAATCATGTTTGGTAAGGTGGAGGGTCAGAGAAAAAGAGGCGGACCCCCAGTGAGCTGGATTGACAAATTGGCAGCATCAATGAGCTCAAGCAGGGCAACAATTGTGAAGTTAGCCCAGGACTGGGCAGTGTTTCATTCTGTTGTGCATAGGATCAATATGAGTCAGTAATGACTCGATGGCATTGAAGGACAACAACCTCTTGAAAAGCTTCAGCGTCATCCATTTCTTTTGGGCACAGTGAGTCTGTGTATTCCTTCCATCTTCTTTTGATGTTTTCTGCATCATTCAATATTTTGCCCATGGTGGTGGTGGTTGTGTGTATCCAAATCGGTTCTGACTCATAAATACCCTATGTAGGGTTTCTGACTCTCTTCCATGGAATGACTGGGAGATTCGAGCTGCTGACCAGGAAGTTAGCAACCTAACTCATAATCCTCTAAACTACCAAGCCTCCTTATTTTGCCCATAGACTCCTTCAGTATTTCAAGTGGAGTCTTGAATTTTTCCTTCAATTTTTTCAGCTTGAGAAATGCTGAGTGTGTTCTTCCCTTTTGGTTTTGCACATTTCATTATAATACTTGAATTTATCTTCTCGAGATGCCATTTAAAATTTTCTGTTCAGTTCTTTCATTTGTGTTAGCGTCTCTAGGGTCAGAGCCTCTTCTGACATCCACTTTTGTTTTTTGTTTTTTTCCTGTCTTTTTAATGGCCTTTTGTTTACTTCTGTGATGTTCTTCATGTCATTCCACAACTCTTCTGATGTTTGGTCATTAGTGTATAATGCATCAAATCTGTACTTGAGATAGTCTCTTAATTTAGGTGGAATATATTCAAGGTCATGTCTTGGCACTCAAGGATTGGTTTTAATGTTTTTCAACTTCAGCCTGAACTTGTATGAACAATTGATAGCCTGGTTTGGTTTTGACTGATCATATTGAGTGTCTCCATTATCTCTTCCCACAAATGCAGTCATTTTGATTCTTGTGGATTCCATCTGGTGAGATCTATGTCCCTTTTATATGTTGTTTAAAAAATATATTTGAAATATATATATATATACTTGCAATGAAAATGTTCTTCGTCTTGCAAAATTATATCATGATCTCTCCAGCATTATGTCTATCACCGAGGTCAAATTCTCCAACATGATGTATCCTGTTTGTTTCCAACTTCTACATTTGAATCACCAGTAATTATCAATGCATATTGGTTGCAAGTGTGATCAGTTTCTCGCCGAAGAAGTTGGTTGCTGTTGTTAAGCGCTATTGAGTCAGTTCTGACCCATAGCGACCCTGTATAGGGTTTCCGAGGAGCGGCTAGTAAGCTTGAACCGCTGACTTTGCAGTTCAAACTGACTTTGCAGTCTAGCGCATTAATCCACAGTGCTGTCCTCAGTTTCATCATCACTGGCCTAGTGGTTGGTACATACATTAGAATAATAGTGATACCAGCTGGTCTTGTTTGCCGGCAGATATCACTGTCAGGATTGTACTTCTAGATATTGAAATGTTCTTTTTTTGTTTATTTGTTTTTATTGTGAATTAAGTAATAGTTTACATGGCAGAATATTAGCTCTACATTCATCAAATCGTATTTCATTTCATTGCAATGATTACAGTCCCCTCCCTGCACCATCAAACAACCAAAGGGTACACCCCGCAAGCCTGTCCCCAAACTGTCAGTACACAGACCCTCTCCCTCCCTGAGTCCAGAGTCCCCAGCTGCTCTATATCTCCACGTCATCATCTCTGTCTCCATCTCTGGCATCACTGCTTCTCTGGATAGGGTCCTGTACTCCACTCTTCTCCCTTGATGGTCCCAAGGACCTGCTCTCCTGGACTGCAAAATCAACCACTCCCCTCCTTTTGCTACAAAACGTCTGCCTTTACATTTGCAACACTTACAGTCAGTCCTGATAGCAATTATTGACTATTGAACCACAAGAGTCTTATCCCCATCTCCTTTCATCAGCCTCGTCCAGACAGGTTGGAAACTACTCAGTGGAGATTCTACCTTCCCCAGCACCCTCTAGAACTAGGATCCCTCTTGAAAGCTTGTAAGCCAGTCACTTCTTGCCTTTGTAGGTTCCGCCCCCTGTCACCATTTTGGGTAGTCAATGTCTAAGTTGCCCATCCCTGTCAACCTTGTGTACCTAGGGGGTGGGAATGATCCTCGCCATAAAGATTTGTTCCCTCTTTTGAGCTACTACACCCATAAGTATAGGTCAAGTACATCAAATTGTAGCAGATGTACTATTTTTTTTTCCTCTTCTTTCTTCTTCTAGTTGAGTTCTGATCATCCAGTCATTGAAGCCAGGTCAAGTGGGTGCTATCTGCAAGTATAGGTGTTCTTGTGCATCTTCCCTCACTTCATATCAGTTGGACGCTTCATTCTCTCTCTAGTCCTCTGTAGCAATGCCCCTGTCTCTGGGCCCAGGAGTCCCCAGGTCTTGCCATACTGCTGGCCAACCTGTCTCAACCAGGGTTGACAGGAATCTATTAAACATAGTCAGACTTAGCTAACAACTACATTGCTGTTTTTCCCCTACTTCCTCCTATCGGAAGACCAACATGGTCACCAACAAGACCATATGCCTGCTCGTGTATTCCCCTTGAGTCTCAGTCTTGGAAGGGGCTTTTCCCTGAGGGGACCAGACCACTTGCCTTGATGGCTCCTGGGCAAACAACTTGCTTGTTCTTGTATTAGTCATTCAGACTGCCATTATTGTTTTTGATTTTTCCTTCTGGTCTTTCTTTCAAGAAGTATCTTCTGTTCTTATAGTCATTTCAGGCTGGTCTGCTTGTCCTTTTAAGTGGAAATTTCCCACCTCAAAAGATTCTGGCTGGGGACCAGGATTCCACTGATGGTCTTATGCAGTGCAAAGGCTCCACAGGAAGCCTCATTCATTGGGCAAGTTCTAGCCCCATTTTAGGTATTCCAATCAGTTATAGGTTGAAGACAGACTTACAAGCTTTCTATGGTGATATTTCTAGCTATTTTTTTCTCTCCCACTCAAGTGTCTATTTTACAATAGTAGGCAAGGGAAACCAAGATTCAAAAGACAGCCAATTCACTGGTGAATTCTACCAAACATTTAGGGAAGAGCTGTCACCAATACTACTCAAATTATTCCAGAATATAGAGGAGGATGGAAACTCCCTAATACATTTTATAAAGCAAGTATAACCCTCATACCAAAACCAGGGAAGGACATCACTAAAAAAGAAAACTATAGACCAATATCTCTCATGACCATTGATGCAAAAATTCTCAACAAAATCCTAGCCAACAGAATCCAGCAACACATCAAAAAGATAATACTCATGATCAAGTGGGATTCATATCAGGGATGCAATGATGGTTCAACATTAGGAAAACGATCAACGTTATCCACCATATAAATAAGAAAAAAGAAAAGAACCACATGATCATATCGATTGATGCAGAAAAGGCATTTGACAAAATCCAACATCCATTCCTGATAAAAACACTCAACAAAATAGGAATTGAAGAAAAATTCCTCAACATAATAAAGAGCATATATACAAAACCAGCAGCCTACATCACTCTCAATGGAGGTCCATTGTCTAACTGAGAGTGCTTACCAGGCACCCCTTAAGTCTTTTTGTGGTCTTAGTAAAGAGTATTATAAATACATCCTTCATTTTAACCTGTCTCCTGAGAGTAGGGATGGGAAACAGTTTTATTTTACAATCCAGCAAACCCTGGACCGTCCATGATGCTGTTGTTGATGATGTTAAGTGTCGTCAAATCTGTTCTCTCTCTCTCTCTCTCTGGCGTTCTACATGGCAATCACCTTGGCCAAATCCAATTTCTCGGGGCTGCACCCGACCACAAAGTTCCTTTGAACCACAAGGTCAGCAGTTCAAACTTACCAGCCTCTCCTTGGAAACCCTTTACAAGGTCTCTATGAGTCAGAACCAACTTGACTGCACTTAACAATAACTCTTTTCCCAGACGTCAAGACATTTTCTGGTAACTGCTCTCTTCTCCTCTGTGGTGTTCACACCCACTCCCCCTCCCTCCCTGCCCAGCCTTCTCCTACTCATTTTTTTCCTCTTCTTTCTCATCCTCTCCGTACTCTTCCTCTTCTTCCTTTCCCCTCTTAGTCTCCTCCTCTCATATTCCTCCTGCTCCTCTCCTGAGTCAGAGTGGGTGCAGACTTCTCTGGGAACCTCCTTTGACCATGTTTCATGCCCCAGGTGGACAAGGTGCCCCCACCAAGAATTCCGTGGCCCCTGAGACACCTCGATCTTGTGGTTAACACACTGCTGTTATCATTGATTTACTGAAAAGACATGCTTATTTTTTTCTTAAACACATTTTTCTGTTTTTTTCTTAAAACAGGCATCAATTCCTTCCAAGTCTACATGGCCTACAAGGACCTCTACCAAATGTCTGACAGCCAGGTATGGCCTCACACCTGCTCCCATCATCGCCAGACTGCTGGGCCGGGGCATGCTCTGGGCTGCAGGCTTGCTTTGACACTGAACCGTTAGGTGGCCTTGGTCAGGTGTTCCTCCCCCACCCCACCCCCCCTATTACCAATTTAGCCCCGAGAAACTGGATTTGGCCAAGGTGGTTGCCATGTAGAACGCCAAGAGTGTCATTTGGCCTTTTCTTCCGCAACAGGCCTCTTCCCCTGACACTTGACTGGATGAAGCAGGTGGTCCTTCACACCGTAGTCCCCAAGCCTGGCCTCCTCAGAGCCACTTGGGAGTTCACTTAAAGGACAGACTTAGAGCGAATCACGGATTCTTGGTGGGGCTCAGGGATTTCTTCCTCCCAAAGCTCAGCAGCCGGTCTTGGCTCCAGCAGGTCTGGGAAACAAGGTTGTTTCATTATTTATCACACTCACGTGACTAGCTCCCCTAAAACGAAGCCAACACTGGACTCTGGACAAGTCCATTCTTTCTGATAATGTCATCCATAGCTCCAGCCACACACACACATGCAATAGCATCTGTTTACACATATGCACAGACATGTGATAATGCCATCCACACCTTCTCTTTCCACATCTACCCATATTGCTGTTGTTGTTAAGTGCCATTGAGTTGGTTCCAATTCATAGCAACCCTGTATAGAGTTTTCAAGGAGTGCCTGGTGGGTTTGAACTGCTGAGCTGTGGTTAACAGTTGAATGCATTTAATAATGCCAGTACATTCCTGCTCCATCAACACTTACCTGTACACATGTGGTAAACAACCATTCACACCTTTTACATTGGCAAAGCACAAGACTCCAGGAATTGACGGAATACAAATTGAAATCTTTCAACAAACTAATGCCACACTGGAGGCACTCACTCTTCTAAGCCAAGAAATTTGGAAGACAGATACCTGGCCAGCTGATTGGAAAAAAATCCATATTTATGCCTATCTCAAAAACAGGTGACCCAACCCAAAGTGGAGATCATCAAACCACATCGTTAATATCACGTGCAAGTAAAGTTTTGCTAGAGATAATTAAAAAGTGTCAAGAATGGCACATCAATAGGGAACTGTCAGAGATTTCAGCTGGCTTCAGACAAGGATGGAGAACAATGAATAATATTGCTGATGTTAGATGGATCCTAACTGAAAGCAGAGAATACCGGAAAGATGTTTCCCTGTGCTTTATTGACTATGCAAAAGCTTTTAGCTGTGAGGATCATGAAAGCTATGGATAACATTGCAAAGAATGGGTATTCCAGACACTTAAATTGTGCTCATAAGGAACCTGTACATACATGAAGAGACAGTTGTTCAAACAGAACAAGGGGACGCTGAATGGTTTAAATTCAGGAAAGGTGTGTGTCAGGGTTGTATTCTTTCACCATACATATTCAGTCTGTATGCTAAGTAACTGTATTATGTGAAGAAGAACACACATAACTTCAGGATTGGAGAAAAACTCATTAACAACCCTGTGATATGCAGATGATACAACCTTGCTTGCTGAAAGCAAAGATGATTTAAAATACTAACTGATGAAGATCAAAGACCACAGTCTTCAGTATGGGTTGCACCTGAATGTAAATATAATAAAAATGCTCACCACTGAAACAATTAGTAATATCATGATAAATGGAGAAAAAATTGAAGTTAATGAAAGACTTCATTTTGCTTGAATCCACTATCAACATTCATGGGAGCAACAGTCAAGAAATTAAATGATGTTTTGCATTAGGCAAATCTTTAAACTGTTTAAACTGTTCATGAGCAAAAATGTCACTTTGAGGACTAAGGTGTCATGGTATTTTCACAAGCCTCTTATGCATGTGAAAGTTAGACAATGAATAAAGCAGACTCTAGGAGAATTGATGCATTTGCATGAGGTGTTGGAGAAAAATATTACATTTTTCTGTCCCATGGACTACCAGAAGAACAAAGAAATCTGTTCAAAGAAGTACAGCCAGAATGCTCCTTAAAAGCCAGCTTGTCCAGACTTCATCTTTCATACTTTGTGCATATTATCAGGAGAGACCAGTCCCTGGAGAAGGACATCATGTTTGGTAAAGTGGAGGGTCAACTAAAAAAAGGCAGAACCCCAATGAGATGGACCGGCCCAGTGGCCGCAGCAATGCACTCAAGCTTAACAACAACTGTGAGGATGGCGTAGGACCGAGCTGTGTTAGTCTGTTGTGCGCAGGGTCACTATGGGTTGGTACCGACTTGACAGTACCTAACAACAACAACACACACCTCCCCCATCTACAGTTCCCCATTGTTGTTGTTGTTGTTAGGAGCCATCAAGTCGGTACCAACTCATAGCAACCCTATGCACAACAGAACAAAGCATTGCCCAGTCCTGGGCCAGCCTCACCGTTGTTGCCACATTTGAGCCCATTGATGCTGCCGCTTTGCCAGTCCATCTCGCTGGGGGGTCTTCCTCTTTTTCTCTGACCCTCCACCTTATCAAATATGATATCCTTCCCCAGCAACTGGGCCCTCCTGACAATGTCTGAAGTATGAGAGACAAAGTTTGGCCATCCTGGCCTCTAAGGAGCACTCTGGCTGTACTTCTTCCAACACACATCTGTTGGGTCTTTTGGTAGCCCATGGCACTTTCAGTATTCTCCTCCAACACCGTAACTAAAAAGCATCAATTCTACAGTCTTCCTTATTCACTGTCCAGCTTTCACATGCATATGAGGTTATTGAAAATACCATGGCTTGGGTCAGGTGCACCTTAGTCCTCAAGCTGATGACATCTTTGCTCTTCAACACTTTAAAAAGGTCTTGTGCAGCAGATTTGCCTAATGCAATATGTTGTTTGATTTCTTGACTGCTGCTTCTGTGAGTGTTGATAATTGATGCAAGAAGAATGAAGTCCTTGACAACTTCAATCTTGTCTCTGTTGATAAAAATTTTGTGTATCGGTCCAGTGGTGAGGATTTTTGTTTTCTTTACCTTGAGATGCAATCCATACCGAAGGCTGTGCTCTTTGATCCTCATCAGGAAGTATTTCTATGAGTCGGAACCGACTCCATGGCACACAACAACAACAAGTAAGTATTTTAAGTCCTCTTCACTTTCAGCAAGCAAGGTTGTATCATTTGCGTATCGCAGGTTGTTAATGAGTCTTCCTCCAATCCTGATGCCATGTTTTTCTACACATAACCCAGCTTCTCAGATTATTTGCTCAGCATACAGATTGAATAAGTATGGTGAAAGAATACAACCTTGTTGCACACTTTTTTTAATTTTAAACCATTCAGTGCTCCTATGTTCTGTTCAAACAACTGCCTCTTGGTCCATGTACAGATTCCTCATACACACAATTAAGTGATCAGGGATACTTATGATTCGCAATGTTGTCCATAGCTTGTCATGATCCACACAATCGAAGACCTTTGCGTAGTCAGTAAAGCACAGGTAAACATCTTTCTGGTATTCTCTGCTTTCAGCCAAAATCCATTGGATGTCAGCAATGATATCCTTCATCCCACATCCTCTTCTGAATCCAGCTTGAACCTCTGGAAGTTCTCTGTCAGTGTATACCCATAGACATATGGTAACTCTCATTTGGAGTTACCTCTGTGGACATATAATAAGATTATTTACACTTCCTCCTACATACATTCTCATGAATATGTAATAACATCTGTTCACACATACCCATAGATATATTACAATGTCACTCACAGCTTCTCTGTTCTCACCTATCCATAGGCATGTAATAGCATCCATCTACACATACCCATAGACGTGAAATAATGCCCATCCACACCTCCTCCATCCGCACATATCATTACACATAGGATAACACGCACACACACCTCCATCTGCTTATCTGTAGACATGTGATTGCTTCCATCATCCAATCTGCACATAGGTGTGGATAGTATCATTCACTCTTCCTCCACCCATACCTCTATAGATGATTGATAATGTACATCCACACTTTCCTGTGGTCATGGGATAATACCCATCAATGCTTCCTCCATCCATACTTACCTGCCGACTTGTAATAGCATCATTCACACCTTCTCCCCACACATACTATAGACATATAATGACGCCAATCTGCACCTTCTCCAGCCACACCTACCTGTAGGCGTGTGATGATGACACCCAGCCACACCTCCTCCATGCATACCCATCCAATAAATGTAACATTCAAAACACATGGACTAATGTCTATCCTTACCTTCTCCAGGCACACATCTGTCAGTTTGTTATACTGTGTTGCAATGATGCTGGAAGCTATGCTGCAGTTATTTTAGAAACCAATAAGTTCCCCCATGGTGGACAGGTTTCAGTGTAACATTCAGACGAGGTGTACCACTTCCTAATGGTTACCACTAGAAGCCTTATGAATAGCAGTGGGACTCTGACATCATACCAGAAGATGAGCCCCTCAGGTTGAAAGACATTCAAAATATGACTGGGGAGGAGCTGCCTCTAAAAGTAGAGTTGACCTTAATGATGTGGATAAAGCAAAGCTTTCAAGACCTTCATTTGCTGATGGGGCAAAATTCAAATGTGAAGAAACAGCTGCAGACATCTATTAATAATCAGAATGTGGAATGGATGAAGTATGAATCTAGGAACATTGCAAGTCATCAAAAATGAAATGGATCGTCTGAAGATCAATATCCTAGTAGTGACTTGAAAAGGACAGGTTTTAGCCATTTTGAATCTGACAATCACATGGTTTACTATGTCAGCAATGACACATTGAGGAAGAATGGCATAGTATTCATCACCAAAAAGAACATACCATGATCTGTCTTGAAATACAGTGCTATCTGTGATAATATCCATACACCTACAAAGATGACCATTTAATACCAATATTACTCAAATGTACACACCAACCACTAAAGAAATTGAAAATTTCTACCAACTTCTTCAGTCTGAAGTTGATCAAACATGCAGTCGAGATGCACTGATGATTATTGGTGCTTGAAGTGCAAAGGTTG